CCAACCAAATTCAGTCCGTTTTCAATGGCGATGTTAATTCAGAACTTGGCACCACCGTTTTCATGCCGGAGTTCGCTCTATACGGCGTCGTTTCGGCTCCCTTCTTCATCGTCTTCTTTGCTTCTTATCACAATTTTCCCGGGAAATTACCGAAATGTACGGAAGAAATTGAGGGTTTGCAGAGCTATGAGTGAGCAGACGCCGGCAGAAGGAGCTTCTTCTCCTTTTGTTAAAGAAATTGAAAGACTTTCAGCTAAAGAATCTCTGCTACTCGCTGTGAGTTACTGTACCTTCTCAATTTCCCTTTTTGGGTTTTTTTTTTTTTCTTTCATCTAGCTTAAAAGTATGAATTTGGTTCTTAAAGTTTCAATATTTAGCCTATTTAGCTGAAGAAATGCTGTTAAAATTTGATGATTATTCAGTTGCAGAGCTAGAAATTTTAGTAAGATTGTTGCCGTATATTAAAAGTAGACATACTTAACTAATAAGGGGAGTCAATATAGTATTAAAAAAAAATTGACCTAGCTAAACAGCGTAATTTTCTGACGATTTGACACCACTTAACATAAGGTGGCTCCACCAATGGGTTGTTGAGTGAAAGTAGGTAATGGGTGCATGAGAATATGAAAAGAAAAACTTTTTCAAAATTTGAGAAGGAAGTATCTTAGTGTCATAATTCGAGTATCTTAATGAAATTTATTAGCAAGTTGATGGGCTGTCGATGTGTTCAGTCATTTAGAAAGTAGTTTACTTTTATACTCCTATTTAGGTTCTTGTTTATACAAAAACAAATTATTTGGTACAAGTGCACTTTTGATATTCTAAACTCTGTGTTGAGTTAAACTATGTCAAAAAAATTGGGACAAAAGGAAGTAGAACATGAAATCAATTTTAAGTCCTTTAAGCACTTGTGTGTGTTGTTCATTCTGCAATAGTTGAAAGATGCTGGAGGTTTTGAGGCAGTGATCACTGGGAGGACAACAGATGTTCAGCGCGTTGATGTGAACGAGAGGATCATTGTCCTTGAGAGGCTTAATCCAACACCACGACCCACAACGTAAGGCGTTTAAAATCTGATTGAGCAATTTCATTGTTCAAGCTTCTTGATAAGTTATTTACTTGTGTTTTCAGCTATCCAGGTCTCCCTTTTTGGAAGGTCTATGGAATTTTGAGTGGTTTGGAACTGCAAGCCCGGTGTTCTTGGCTACCAGGCTTTTATTTGGGCAAGTATCTATTTTTCTTTTTGTTGGATTACATCCACTTATGTTAAATATCATGAGGTTTAGAGAATTCCTAGTTTTAGAACCTCAAGTTTGCCCCAAAAGACGAATTATCAAGTACTGGAATGAAAAATACTCAGATATAGCGGATTTAGCTATCTTTGGTGGAGCTTTAGCTTCCTAGTGGTAGTTCTGTTTGATTCTAATAGCTGCTAATGTTCGAATATTGTGCTATTGCAGGAGAATTCCATCGACATTGGCAAATTTATCAAAATTAGATCTGCTAATCAGAAATGGATATGGGACTGCTATTGCACACGTGAAATTATTGAATTCGGTAATTCATCTATGTGATTACGTTTCATATGCAGAACATATACTATGGTCAAATAGAAAAATGAAAATTCTCTTTACTAATTAGAAGGTGGAAGGAAAAGAATGCCAACAGAGTTCGTTTATACTTTTAGTCAATGCAGTGCTAAAACTGGATAGTCGGTGCTTCGTGTAATCTAACACTATTCAAGAAACAAAAGATAGATAGGAACAAAGAGAATTGCTTAGTAACAAGCAAATAGTAGATGATGGAACAAGTCAAAGAGTAAAAACCAATTGAAGTAGTACCAGACATTTGATGGATGTTATTTTGTAAGCTCACTGCTAGCCCCCTGAGATGGACGATAAAAAATGTACTTGTGCGTAAAGCTTGATACTTTTGACGATAGTGTCGTAGACTTACTGTTAGGAAACAAAAAGCAGCATAATTGATTACGCTGTAATACATGGTATCAGGTCTGTTTGCGCGTAAGTTAGCTATTCCGCCGAGCACTTACATCACTTCACTAGTACCGGATAACTCTGCTCACTGAGGATGGATTAGGAAGATGGGAAGAAGTCACCTAACTATTTTGCATCACTAAAACGCAGACCATGCGACACCATTGACTGCTTGGGCATATGAACATTTTAACTTACTAAATAAGTTTCTCTAGTTTAGCAAATTTGAGTTGGGTTGAGTATACTTTGATTCGCACTGCCCTGAACCTAAATGCTATTTCTCAGGCTAGTTAGGAAGAATTAGCTAACCCTGTTTGGTCTAACCAAGTTAATCCAGCTCGACTCAGTCCAGTCAAGGCCTCAAGGCGCTGTGTCGTACATTTTTATTAGTTCTAGTCATCATGAAGAGATAGTTGCATATATCCCAATCATGTATTTTAGCAGGAAATAAATATAATGATGATGGAATGCAGATCGAAAATAAATTTGTTCTCTCCAGCAAGTTTTCTGTCGAGGGACCTCTTCGGATGAAAGAGGAATATGTTGAAGGGATATTTGAAACTCCAAAGGTAGATGAGGATATCGTGCCTGAGCAACTAAAGGGTGCTTTGGATCAAGCTGTTAACACTCTCCAACAACTTCCTGTTCCCATCAGAGACAGTGTGTCCCGTGGCTTGAAAATTCCTCTTGGTAAGCATTTAATAATATATCTTTAGGATTTAATCTTTGCTATCAACTAAGGACAAAGTCTGAGCCATTATCTTTTCAACATTACCACTTCATCTTGCTTAGTCTGTCCCATTTTCGTCTCGAATTTTGATTTCTTCATTCACCTGTTAACAGCATCCGTCCAATATACTTGGTTCAAATCAGATTTCTCTTCCTGGTTGATCATTCCCTTTCAGCTAGCTGCATTTCCAATCAAATTTGACGCGCTTAACTTTCCTAAATTTATATTTATGCTACTATTCTAGTCATATCTAATAGTTAGTACTCCTTTCTACAGGCGAGGCATTTCAAAGACTCATTATAATTTCCTACCTTGATGAAGAGATACTGGTAAGTCCTTTATTATTAGTTCTATTAGTGGAAAATGCAGCAATCCTTTTATAAATGCCAAAACAGAGCCACAATCATTGGTCTTGCAAAATTAATACTCCCTCGTCCCTCCGTTTCATTTTGTCTGTCTTCTTTTGACTAGACACGAAGTTTAAGAAAGTAAACAAGACTTCTGAATCTTGTAGTCTTAAACTAAAGATTGTCGAGTATAACCAAAATGATATGCCAATTCTTATGCTAATGCATTGAACCGAAAAGTTCTGGTGTTGGTTGTTTCATGTTTGAAAACAGATAGTTAGGAACACTGCTGGAGAACCCGAGGTCCTGACGCGGTTGGATCCGGTCCCTGATCCAGAACCAATGTTGGATTATGAGAGCTGAGGAGCTCAACTTTCTCCGAAAAAACGCGGTCATTTCTCTCATCACCCTCAGCTGCTGTATTTAACATCTACATAATGTTGTTATTACATCTTTTTCACTAAGTATTGTATAGATTAAATGTCAAGATGATGAGCATTGAACGCGATGTTACAAAGATGGTTGTTGTTATAGAGAGATAAAATATAACATAAAAAAGTCGATTATGAGAAAAGCTTGGTTGTTAACTTGTTATAGTGAAGAGTTGTTATAGAGACGTTTGATTGTGTGATCCTCAGTTACAATTACAAGAATGGCTATGCCATTTATTTCTACTAAATGATATTCATTAATATCGAAATTAATTTTAATTGTTCATTGAATTAGTATACATCATAGTTGCCAACTTTATCATTAAACCCAACTTAACACTTTATTGTTTGGATAATTTAAACTAAAACAAGGTTTAAAATCAAACAACACCCTATAAGTAAAATTTGTTGTAAGACTGGTATCAATAACGTAAAATATTAATATTCCAACTTGCAATAAAACAAATAAAATTATCCTGATACGGAAGGTCACAGATTCAAACTGTGAAAACAACCTCTTATAGAAATTCACGTATTAACAAGTCTTTGTAGTTCAGTCTTTACTCGAATTTTAAACATAGCAAAAGCTTAGTGTACTGAATTGTCGTTTTAGAATTCCAACTACGTAACATAATCTCAGCTTTCATCAGTCACAAATAAACAAACAAAAAGTAAAACTCAATTGATTCTTTTTTTTGTTTTTGTTTTTATTTGTTTATCAGTTTGCAATTAAGGTATTCGATGAAATTCTCTTTGCCGTTTGCATTGTGGAGTATTAAATATTAATCATTATTTATCACTAAGTGAAACTTAATTATGATAGAACTATCAGATAGCCCTTCCTTCGGGCAATCAACCAAACCCGGCACATCCAATTCCATTCCGATCATCCAGAATCCAAACAATCATAATCTAAGACGATAAGATTCAAAAAAAAATCCTTTTTATGTTTTTAAATTTTATGTTCAGTTAAACTAACAGTCATAAAATAAACCGGATCGAGTATTATATAAGAAAAGAAATGTGTGAAACTTATAATAGAAGTAATATCATTTTCTAATGTTTATTTTGATGGTTTGCCAAATTGCAGATACTTGTTAATGTAAGATAAGAATTTATATTATATTATATACTTCAAGAAAGGTCCACATGGAAGAAACAAAACAAACTAGTGATTAAGAAATAAAATGTATCCAAATGGAACAACAACAACAACAATAATAATTTATTTTGTATAAATTCATAAGTGGTGTCTGAGAAAGATGATGCAGATGTACGAAGTCTTACTCCTACCTCATGAAGACACAAGTAGAGAGACTGTTTTCGATAGAGTCTCGACCTATAAAAGTTTTTTATTAAGAATAAAATGAGAAGTATAAAATTAATTGTTTCTAAATTTAAACGTATATCAAATTTTTTTCAAATAAGCTAAAAAAATACGTTACATAAACTGAAATGTAGTGAGTATATATGTACTAATACAACAATGCTCTTAATCTTAACATAATTGAAGATACTTCAACATGATTTAATTATCCAGAAAAGAAGATTGGGAATAATGATCAAGAATTGGATTAACCAATAAGACTAATTAATTAAGTTAAACTCTAAAAAACACAATGAAACAACAACAACAAAAAATTAGAAAAAATTAAACAAATTAATACTACTCATTAGCCTAACATCAATAAATCAAATTAAATTCCTCTCTCTCAAGTTAAATATAGGTCTAGAAAATCGAACTGTCTCACGCATCATCTCAATCCGTTTATCAAATCAACTTTTTCTGAGCAATTCACGTATCACTTATCTGAATAGCTAGTGGAGATTCTCCATAACCATCCAAATGATTATTAGTAGTATTATTAGTATCCAAAGGGAGTAATGGAATTTGATTAAAATCTTGCATAAAACCATCAAATTCTTGAAATCCACCCAAAAATCCTCCACCATAATTAGCATTTCTCCATATATCTTCTTGTTCTTCACCTTTAATCTTTTCTCTCATAATTAACTCTGATGGATAATTACAATTATATCCACCCTTAATTAGTTCCAATTTTTTTGGAACTAATTTTTTAGTACTACCAATTCTTGATCTTTTCTTGATCTCTGATGGCTTACCTGTGAGTCTTTGAACAAGTTCTCGAAAATTCGCTGCGTCTGTTTTGATAATCTCAGGTGCAAATATATGAATTATTCGAATTTTTGGCTTCAATTTGGATATATTTTGTGAATTTTTGTTCAACATATTTAGAGGTGTTGATGGACTTGTTCTTGAAATTTGGTTTTGTTTTTGTGTTATGTTGTACATCATTTTTAGTGTAGTTTTTGTGGAGAAAATGAGATATGAATATGATTGAGATAGAAGGAAGTTATAATAAGGTTATATATATAGGGGAATTAATTTTTAAAAAATAGAGGATTTTTTTAAATTATTTTTTTTATGTTAAATTTGTTGGACAATGGAGAAAATTTAAGAAGAAAAACAAGATGTACGTTTGAGGCAAGGATTGGATGAACCCTTTTCTGACGTAGTACAAAGGGAGAGATGGTCAATAAATAATTGAACTCAATGGTCCCCCAATGATTTCTTTTGGTTTGTTTTTCTATTCTATGTTCGGTATTTCGCTTTAGGGTTGATGAATTTGAATTCGTGATGGAGGTAAAATGCTCTCTATGAAAGACGATTAAACATGAAACATTTAGATAAGAGTGAAAGAGTATTTACCATTTTACGACAATCATATTTTTTGGTTTTTTTATCGATGTCTGGTATTTGCTTTAGAAAGACTAATTTGGATTCACATCGAAAAAAATCTGCTTTAGGGTGACTAATTTAGATTCACATTGGAAAAAATGCGCTTGAGGGTGATTAATTTGAATTCACATCGAAAAAATCCACTTTGGAGTAAAACATTCTCTAATAACAGTGACTTCATATTCAAAATTCGAACGTGACATCTATAATTTAGGATGGAGGAGTACGTACCATTTAATTTCATAACCACAACCTTTGGTGGTTCCCAATCCCATGATCATATATTATATGTAAAAACAATGTCTATCAAGGAGAAATCATTACTTAGAATTACAAGAATGACCCTATTCATTTATTAAAATCATATAATTGTATCATATGATGTATATAATTAATGTGATTTTTTCTATGATTAGTATAAAAAACATAGTGGCTAACTTGTTGAAATATCAAGAAATGGCTTCCACCACTAATTGGTAGTTGGAACATGCATGTAGTATTAAAAAACAATTTGTTTTTCTCCCAAATTTGGGGAAATTGACTTTTTTATCATAATATTAAAAAGCAGTTAAGATTAGGTGTTTAAACTTTGGTTTATCCTTTTCAGTAGTTTTTATACAAACAGATAGTAGCATTAATGCTTATCCATATCACAAAGTTTAACATAATTACATTAATTGATTGGATAATCTTAATTAGTTGTAACATTTAAAAATTAACAACTCTCAAATACTTATTTCTTAATAGATAAGATTATGTAAGCCACTTAAGTATATTAAGCCTTTAAGCACACTTGAATAATGTCACCTTAAAGGCTAGAATACCAACAAACGTCTATTAAGCTATCAGAATTTGTGACTTTTTCATCAAAAGCCACATCAACAACGCCTCTCTGTCGGAGGTTCGAAAATCAATGAAAAACTATTGAAGGCTAATATCATAACGTAGTTTATTACTGAAAGAAATTATGATATCCATCGCCTTGCTTGTTTGGAGAGAATTTTTTTATAAAAAAAAAAAGTCTTGAAAAAGCATTAGAAAACCCTAATTATGTACATCATTATTAAACCGACCTGGTCTGAACAATCTAGGGGGAGTAATAATCTATAGCGGTAATAACAAAATAGTGACCATGACTAACCCCCCACAAACACCAAGAATTAAGAAGGGCATATTTGGAATGGAAGTATAAAATAATAGCTATATATTATAAAAAATGTATAAGTAGGTAATTCCAATCACTAGATAACATAAATATTCTCATAATTTTGTAACAAGAAAATAAAAGTGGTCATGGCCTGCATTAATTAGAGTGGCCCTTTTTGTAAGTACATATCCAATTTCTCAGATTCAGACATAATCTCCAAATATCTTAGTACAATAATATATGTCTATTTTTTTTTCATATAATATAATTTAAACCCAAGATACTAATTAAAATATATCACCACTGCTGATTGCTCAACATGTTTCCAATAACCTAAAACAAATATTCCAAAGTGCAAATTTAAAATTATTACTCCCTATGATCTGTTTATCTAATTTTGACTTGACACGAAGATTTATAATAAAGTAAACAAAACTTTTGAATCTCTTTATCTTAAACTAAAGATATATAGAATAATATATCAAAGTATCCTTTAAAGTTAGAAAATGACATTATCTTTAAACTGACTAAAAGAAGTAAAATAAACAAATTAAAACGGAGATAGAATATTTGCTTAAGTCTCAAAAAATGAAAAAAAAATCTAACAAGACCTTAAAATTACAATAACTTAAAAATGGTGAGTTGTAATATTAATAAGTATTATTATAATCTGAGCTTCACTATAGGTTATAATACTTACTATTACAACTCACCATTTTAAAAATAAAAAATAAATCAATTAGTTAATATTTTTTTCTGTTTGCCTGTTTGTGATCAATTCCATAGTGCCGGTTGCATTGTTGGAAATTAATAATCACTAATTCACTAATATCATAATAACCCTAACGTAACTATCATAATCTCTAATTATTTAATATATATACTCCTCCTATTATAAATTATGCATCAGTATTTTCTTTTATTAATCTGTTTTAAAAAAAAATTAATAGTATGTAACTTTTACAATTTGAAAATTTCTCAATTCACCCTTACTAATAAATTTGAACACGTGATTTATAGGTTACACAGAGACATGTTTAATATAGTAGCGTTGCTTCAATTATTCAGTTAAACAATGTTACATAAATTGAAACGAGGGGGAGTTATGTACGTACTTAATTGGAAACAGTCAAATCCTTCGTAGACAAATTTGTTTCTTTTGAAAAGTTAAGAAATGAACTTTATATGAAGTTTGAATTTATTATTGGAAAGATGAAATAAAAGGATCTTTTTGTTCTTAAAAAAACACTTGACAATCCTTTTCAAAAATCCAGCATTTTTTAGTCATTGCTATCAAAATGAAAGCTTTTTTTTTTGTTTTTCACCCGGTGTCCGGAGTCCATATTGGAGCTCCGACTAAATTTGGATCGGGTACTGCAAGGCCCATTCGGGGGTGGCTCTCCCAACAAGATTTTCTTCATATCCAAGGCTCGAACCTGAGACCTTTGATTAAAGGTGAAGCACTCCCAGTCTCCCACACCACGACCCATGAAAGTTACTTTGACTAGAAATAGGGTATTATAAAAGTGAAATAAACAAAAGCTATGTTGTCATTATGAGAGACTTCTTCTAAAGTTATTTAACCCTGCATGCTTCTTTGGTCGAGTTTGCTTCTCTCACAACTTTCAATAGTTCAAATGAACCTTAGTAGATTTTATCCAAATAATATATTTGTGCTAGTAAAATTCATTAAATATATATAAATATTAACTCGATTATATTATTATCAGTTGTAATCGTTATTATAAAATTTAGAATCCATAAAGTTGAAATTCCGTAATTAAAAAAAAAACGGTTGGATCTGCACGTGCAATATATAAGGGTATCTTTGTATTGGGCCCATATTGAGGCCCATAAAAATCTTGGATAACGTCATATTGGATCCATTAGGAAAACGCGAGGCTCGTGTGCCGGCCCACACGCATGTTCTTTTGTAAGACTCCACGTGGCAAATCAGTTAGGGTTCCCCAAGAGGGAGCCACCAAATTACTCCCTTTTGTGTACCGTCTCAGCAATTTTCGTTTTTCGAGAGTTAAACAGTTTAAATTTGACTAAAATTTGTGCATGGGATCTTCAATTTTTTTTGAAATGAAATCTATATATTTGTAAAAAGTACTATAAGTCACAATAATTGATAATTCAAAATGTTTAAAAGATATGTGAGAAATTAATTGTCAAAGATAGACTTATTTGAATCTCGAAATTCAAAAAGTGTTATATAAAATAAGACGGAGGGAGTAAATGTTTTTAAATGTGGGGACCATTTTTTGTGACGTGTCATTCATGACCGGCCGTTGGGATGCACGATTGCTGCTTACCTGGAATATTACTATTCACACTTTTTTTTTCTCCCTTCCTAACGTGCAAACTTAGTTCTACTGGATACGAATTAGGATAGATGATTAATAATAGGTAGTAGAACATTGTCTTATTTAATTATCCTTTTGTAGTGGTAGTAATAGTATTTTTCTCTATAGCTTCTTCTACTTCGATTTATATTAATACAATTTCTTGTATTTCGATTATAACACTATTTTATTGTAGTTCAATATTGTTTCTTTTTATTTTCAGAATGTTTTCTATAGTATTTTGTCATGATTTCTTTACATTCATTGTTTATTTTTTAATTTGCATTCATGTATTTTTCTTTCGGTCACGGTCTATCAAAAACAATATCTCTACCTAGAGCTATGACAACACTCTACCCTTTGTCAAATCTTGACATTTTTCTCTATGTAAGGGACTTAAAATGGACATTCCATTTAATTGAAGGTTGAGTGAGTTTAATAAAGCATAATGAGAATCAAAGTTAAAACTTATTAACTCCTCAGGAATAATTTATGTTTGTTAGCCTGAAAATTATTTTGATAGCAAGAATATGGGGTTCAGAATTTGGCATTTGGAAAGTTTTGTAAAGATGCTAACATGGTCCACATAGAAAGGCCCAATAGCCATTAGAAATCTATTTTCTTCTTGCATTTGCAGAGTCCATTAGAAAATTCAAAATTAAGAGGCACCTCATTACATGCATATACACCAATTCTTTCCCTTTCTTAATTGGAGTAAACATATTCAAACAGGTACAGGCTCAGAGCTCAAAAAAGATATCAAATGGATCAAAGGAAATCAGAGAAAATAAACTTCTAACACAAACATTCATTACTGCAACTACAATTTCTGATTTTATAAAATGTCAAAAACCCTGCCTGAATACTAAAATAAAGCTCAATTCCTCAAACGAAGTTGCATTTCATAACCTGAGCCCAAAATTAAGAAGAATCATACAATGGGACACACAACTGGGCGTTCTAAAGAGCTAGGTACTACAAAAAGTGAAGTGGACTATTACAGTCACTCTCCTGTTTTCCGCAATTCAGCAGCACCATGAGCAAAGTGGCACCTGTCTCCAAATGTGCAAGATCCTTTAGCAAAATTCT